CACCTGAACTATAGAAAGTACGCCTGAACTATAGAAAGTTCACCTGAACTATAGAAAATACACCTGAACTATAGAAAGTACACCTGGACCTGTCATTCTGTGTCTGTTTCTACTTCCTGTCCTCGTTCTTTCTACTTCCTGTCCTCTCTGTTTCTACTTCCTGTCCTCTCTGTTTCTACTTCCTGTCCTCTCTGGTTCTACTTCCTGTTCTCTCTGTTTCTACTTCCTGTCCTCTCTGTTTCTACTTCCTGTCCTCTCAGACCAGCCGGTTGAAGCAGATGTTTGCTCGTCCTGAGCCTGGTTCTGCTGGAGGTTTCTTCCTGTTAAAGGGAGTTTTTCTTTCCACTGTCTCCTTTGTGCTTGTTCAAGATGTGTGCCTGTGATGAAGTGAAGATTCAACACAATCTGCTGCTTCCTCAGATGAATAACTTCTACTAATTGTCTTCTATAATGTCTGTGAATGTTTCTGTTCAGTGACCTGAGACGACTTCTGTTGCGACTTGGCGCTGCAGAAATAAACTGAATTGAAATGAAACTCGATGGTCGTGCGTTACAGAAAAGCAGACGACCTTCTTCACAATAAACCGTGCTGGTGTTTGTGGTGATGTTGTAAAGAAATCAAAATACATTTCCACTCCCTTCAGTCAGTTTGAACATCCTCAACCAACAAGGTCAGTTAACGTGTCTTCTCCACATATTTCTCTTGGATTATTATAATTATTTTTGCCTTCACCCTTCCTTTAATCATCCTCTTATTTCTAATTTTACCGCCTCCCTGTCGTTAGTCACGTCCCACATATGTCTACCTGTCTTTCGTTGTTTTTGTTTCTTGGTGTTGACACAACTGGGTTGTGTCAGCTTCCATTTCGTCTGTCAGGCTGTCCACGTGTCGGTGAGTCCCGCAGCCTTTCATGGGAGATGATCAAGCGAGTTATTTTGGTCCTGATTAGCGTTTGAAGGAATCACTTTCATCAGGAAGGTGTGAGCGTGCTTCTCATGGTTCGGTGCAGCGAGCATATGGAAACCTCCCCTGGGACTCTGGCGTGGTGCCGTCTCTCCGTGTGTCACTGCCTCTGTGTCGGTACGATTGTTTCAATGTTTCTGACTGGTACTGTCGAATCTAGTTCACATTTTAAGCAACAAAGCCCAAACTTTACTCAATTAATATTCAGATTTTCATCTGAAATTATTTGCACGTTCGCAGCCAAATGTTTTTTTTGGTAAAAACCTCAGAAATGTTAACAGAGTTAACCAGCAAACTGGTTTTTTTTCCCACTATGGAGTGAGCTGTTTGTGGGAATCAGTTTGTTTGGTGGATCCTCAGATTGAAGGAGTCATTTGGATGAAGGACGAAACATCTCAGCAAAAAAAAGAAACCGTCCAGAAGACCTGAGTGAACATTGTTGGATTATTACCTGGATTATTGAGCATGTGAACAGAGTTCTCATCAGGAAACTGACAGCAGAACAAACTGATGCACACATCAGATCTTGGTCTCTGGACAAGAGATCTTGAAACCTTTGACGAGAGCGAGGCTCCGTGCACTGACCCAGAACTCGTGCAAACATTGAGACGTTTTAGAAACCCTGCAACTGCAGCCCACTGACACCCAGGCTTTAGCCTTAGCCCATTGGCTCGATCGGTCAGAAACCATGTTTAAATGAAGACAGGATGCAGGATGTTCACTGACAACTTCACCTAACCCCACGTAAAAAGATCCAAACTGTCCCTTTAACTCAGAGAAGAGCCTCAGAAATCCATAAAACTGAAAACTAAAAATAAAACTGGAAAACCCTCGGTGTTTCGGCTGTGGGGGGCTCACCAGCTCCTATAGATATAATTTCACATTCTTCCTTCTACACATTGACCAATATGACTTATTAAGAATTCTGAGGGCAACAATTACACCGAGCACGCTGCCAAACATGTCATTTAACAGCTCGGACTCATTTTGCAGAGTCACGCCATCGCTGCCACGCGGTCTGAGCCGCAGGCCAACGGACGCTCGGCGGAGCTCCGAGGGCTCTCAGGAAAAGGCTCGTTTCTGGCTGCACGTCACCCAAACGGCTTGTGTACATGCCGTGATGGTTAGAAGCAAACAGCCTGTGGTGGGACTACCCGTGTGTGAAACGCTGGATCCCACGTCACGCTGCAGAGCTTCTCCCAGCTCTAATTAACTCTAAAGATAAAAACAGGGGGTTGTCGTTTTGCTGGGACGCAGAAAATCTGAAAACTCCCAGTTTACAGACGCCTGACAAAATATAATTTATGCATCAGGATTATTCTCATATATTTTAGTTTCATCTTTAAAAGCTGTAGCCAGCGAGATGTGATTGATCTTTTAACACTGATTGCTGCAGTTTTAATATTTAACTTCTCTTTCTTGTAGAAAGAGTTCAGCTCTGTAGCTTTAAAGGTTTTTAGTCGTCAGTCTGAACGCAGCAGCAAACCAGTTTAGCTCCCATTAAATTTATTTTAGGACATTTTTCTATTCAACAATGCATGACTCCACTTCGCATGATTTTATTTTCCCTTTAAACAAAAAAAGTGTATTCAATTTTATTTATATATTTATTTTGCAGTTTTCAACAAGCTGAACGAACAGTCGAGGTAAGTCAAGTGGCAGGAAGGTGAAGCATCAGCTGAAGAAGTCACAGGAATCCAGGAGCACACGAGGAGCAGGTGGAACTCAGGCGTCACGGCTGAAACATGTAAGAACACTTTGTTAGGTTTTACTATCAGGTAAAGTGACTAGAAGCACAACTACCGGTCCGGTTGGCATGTAATGCTCCAGCGGTGAAGAGAAGTCATCTACATCCGTTTATCCTCCTGCAGCTCATCAAGGAGATGGTCCACGGGTGTGGCCTGTTGGTGCCATCTTGTGACTTCAGGCTGCAGGAGAAACTGAACTCCCACATTGAATTAGGGTCGACTCGGCTTTTTCAGGAGGAGTGTAGACAGTCAGAGACTAGACCCACAAACTGTTCAGAAAGTGTAAAATACTAAAAATAAAAATAAAAAATAACAGCGCGCATTGATAATTAACGATGACTTACAAACTTAACCCTCAACAGGACCACAGGTGGTGCAAATACTGAACCTTTAGCTCTTTCTGTCAGGTCCGTGACACAGATTTCTGAAACATCTGGCTGAATGAGGCTAAAAACAGAAATTAAATCAGCCGTTGTTTTTGACGGAGACGGGCTGAGCTGTTTGTCCTCCTTAGCAACCGTAACCACGGAGAGCGGAGGAGAGAAAAAGATAAATCTGGACCCGAACTGGTTTCTCCTCCAACATTCAGATCAGTTCTCTCCTCCACACAAGAAGTCTCAGTTTCATTTCTCTCGTCGGAGGAGACGTTGCATCAAAGTGCAGAAAGAGATGCTGCACTTCAAGCTGTTCACGCTGCAGATTGTCTGCTGACAGTGGCTGCTCTTTTCAGCGTGTTTCATTGAGGCATCTGTTCATCTGAGAGAACAACTTTCTATTTTTAACTACGAGACGGAGAGAAGGTACGATGCGTTCTTCATGTGTGTCCACATGGACGTGGAGAGAAATAATCTCAGATTGAGCCAGAAAAGATGTCAGCAGGAGCACGGCTAAAATTAACTCCTTTGTTTAGAGCAAAGCAGCAAAGATGACGTTAACGCAGAGAAACAAGAAGTTCAGTCTGAAGTAAGAAAACCTCAAAGGTTGGAGAGAGACACAAAATGCAAGAACGTCAGAAATTAATATTTATAAGGAATAAACTTTATGACACTACTACCAAAAGGAAACAAGAAATGAAGTATAGATCGGGTTCATTTTAAAACCAAGATGCAAAAACACTAAAAAATACACAATTTATGCCTTTTGTTTGCTAAAGTGAACAGAGCTCTGAGACCAAGAGTTTACAGAACAAATGATCGTCTCGTACGATCGATAGATGAGAATAATAAAAGACAAAAAGGAGAAAACGCTTCAGGAAAGACAATAAAAACAAAAACAGAGGAAGGACGATACAGAAGGGGCGGTATTACCAGGAAAGAAGTGAGAGAGTAACACCTCCAGGCCAAAAGAAGAGGAAATAAAATATTTAAGTCAAGATTGTTAAAAAAAACTGAAGCATAAGAGCAAAAGAATATCACGTTGAGCTGCAGAACGTTGAACAAACGATTAAAAAAAACACAAGAACGTCTTTTCAGAGGACGCAGTTTGTGTTTTTCTAAAAAATGTTCCAGCACACGAGAAGGAAGACTAGAAGAAAGCTGACGGACGACAGATTAAATCACCCATCAGTCCCAGAAAAGTCCTCCTCACATGTGACGACTCAAAATAGATCAAACACAAATTAAAATATAAATCTAAAATAGAAGCTGAAACAGCTGCGGGTCATAATTAGTTTTTAGGAACAAAGAAACGGATAAGAACGAACAAAAAGAGACGTGTTTATGAAAAGAATGGAGGTGAAGATCTGTGGGTCACAAAACACCGAGCAGGGGGTTCTGAGACAAACCCAACGATCCCTGCAGCGAAGATGAAAACGAGTGATAAACGAGGGAGCGTTGAATGAGTTGAAGCTAACGGGGTTCAACTTTCAGAACAGAATCATTTGGTGGACGTCCAGAAATAACTTCTGGAGCTACATTTAAACGGCTGCCACAGTCAGTCGAGGTTTGGAAACACAAGATGAGCTTTAACTCAGTACATTTTACAAACATCCATCCATTCATCCATCCATCCATCCATCCATCCATCCATCCATCCATCCATCATCTTCCTCTTGTTCTGGACTCAGGTCTCGGGGGCAGCATCTTGAGCAGGTCCAGACATCTCTCTCCACAGCCTCTTCCAGCTCTTCTGAGAGGAC